GCAAAGCAGAACATGGAACAACATGATAACCATCAATAACTAAACAAAAATTTACCCAAATTAGTAGCGGTATCTTCTTGAGCGGTACGTAAACAGTTATTGAAGTATAATATATTAAAGTATATAAATATTATTACGGAGTCCTTCAATTTGAAGATGATTTATTTTTGAAACATGGAATTTTATGTTTATAGTAAAGATAAATGCTTCATAGCTATAGGTGGTATTACAAACTGGGCCAAACCCGCATAACAGTCTCAGTTGTAGCACGAAATACAGCAGCTTTCCCTAAATAATTATTGTTAAAAACAATGTCTTTAAATTTCAGAAAAAAAATGCCTGCAGAACATCTTATACTAGGAATAGATTTAGGAACAACTTCTGTAAAAGTTCTTGTTGTAAATGGAGAAACCCAGCAAATCATTGCTAAACAATCCAAAGAAACACAGTCTAATGTGCCTAGTGATCAAGGAACTGATGGAAATAAGCAAGATGTGCCTAAAATAATTTCTGCCTTGAATACTTGTGTTGCAAAACTTTCAAAAGATTTACTTTCTCAGGTAAGAATTTGTAAATTGCAATGTTTTTGAATTTCTCATAGAGTTTTTGTTTATTTTTCATTTTTTAAATTTTCAATCAAATTGAATTCTTTGAACATTTTCTGATGATAAATAAGTAAAAATGAACAAGTAGATGGGAATAAATTTTTTTTTCTTTAATTTACAATTTCATACAATTACATTAATTCATACAAGTTGAGAAGGTAATTTTGTTTTTTCTATGAATAAACAAATAAATATTAAAAAAATTAATACTTTCCATTTTGTTTTACTTTTTGTAATCACAGTTCAATGCCATAATTTTAAAGTATGAAGATTGAAAAAGTAATTTTGATTATAAACAAAATTAAATTTGGCTCTGAATTTTGATTTTTTTAATATTTTTTACACAGCATTTATTACAATTAAAAGGTTCATCTGCCAATAAGTTTAATATAGTTTAGTTAATTGTGTGATTGTTGGTACTTATTAGATTAAGACAATAGGAATATGTGGCCAAATGCACGGTGTAATGCTTTGGAACAACGAGGGCGAAGGTGCCTGGGAAAGAATTGAAAGAGATGGGACATTGACACGCTATGACGTAGTTCAAGACAAAGTATCAGCACTATACACTTGGCAAGATAATAGGTGTGACTCGGATTTTTTGAGTTCTCTTCCCAAATCAAATTCACACTTTCCTCTGTGTTCCGGTTATGGTACTGCAACGTTATTCTGGATGGCAAAGCATAAGTAAGAAAAAAAAATTAATATCTTGACTTTTGTATTAAACTTGTGGATAATTTATTAGTAATTTAAAATCATTTTGTTATGTTTACTTGCTCACAATAGCGACAAGTACATATTAAAAATTATTACATTTTACAAGTTTTGGAAAATTGGTTAACATTTTAATCTATAACATTATTATTAGAGCAATACTAATGCATCCGTTCTTAAGTAATACTGCAATAATAAACTAAAAAATGTGCAAGGTAAGCCAAAACACTTCATCTTACTGTTATTATTTTTCCTGTATGCTTGTTTTAGAAACATTCTATTACTGTTCAATAATAATTCTTATCTTAATCAAATGCAATCCAAGGCAGTGCTGCATATTTAAAAACTGCATCAAATTAATTTTATATATTCACAAAAACAAAATTAAATAAAAGTAAAAACGATTAAAATGAGCTGTTATAAAGTGGAACTAGAGTTTATCCAGTTTTTCTATGCTTTTTAAATTAAAGTAATGTTGAAAGACACTTCTTTAAAAAGTATAAGGTAAATTAAAACAAAATAATATCTAATTCTATGTAACACATTGTACATACAAATTATGGGAAATCATAGTTTCTCATGAACAAGTCATTGTAGTTTTTGGGTTTAAAAAGCTTTGATTGTCATGTATGGTTTAAATAAGTGTTGAGTGTAATATATGGAAGTATTTGACTCATTTATTTTTAAATTCCGCGCTCTTTTGCTTGTGCTTCTAATTTTTCGAATAAGTATTTATTTAGTTGAACTCCTTGACTTTCCAGATGACCTTTCGAATTCACTGACTGTTGCTGATGACCTTGATTTTCCTTCACTTTCCGGATAGTATGGTGGAAACTGTCTACTTTTAAAGTATGACTTTGTGCGGGTGCGAAACGTGAGCGGTGGACGTGACGAAAAGAAAAAAGTTATTAGAAGCATATGTAAGGTGGTGTTATAGCAGGATGATAAAAATACCGTGGATAGATAGTTAAAAATAAAGTGTTCGAAAATACAGAATAGAGTTTTTATAGAACTCAACAAGTAAGCATATCCTCTGAGACATGGAGGGCTAGTTAGGAAATAGTAGAAGCAGAAACAAGGGTAAATATTAAATTGCTGTTAAGAAGTGGATAGGGATGTGGGATGTTGTAGATTTCAAAGATTAACTCAGAATATGAAGAGCACGTATCCAACCATTCTTTCAAACGACGAGTTCAGGATGGTGGACTTAATAAAAAAATTAGCAGATATAATTAATATTTACGATATAAAACCGAAAACTACACAATAAAAGGAGAACTGAAATTAATTACGTTCAGATTTACTTTTATAATATATATACATAAAATTGGATGTTTCTTTGTTTTTCCATTCATTCAACTGCAATGAAACTTTATTGAGTTGTTATCTTAAGGTAACGAGTTTTTAACATCAAAATATATTAATAAT